CTCTGCTGCAAGACCTTGCCATGTCGAGGCCGTCACCCTCCAGGCCTACACCCTAGACCCCAAAGCCCACACCCGAAGCCCTAAACCTTCAAGGCCTAAACACTCAACCCTCAACCCTCCAGGCCTAAACCCTAAACCCCCCCCCCCACACCCTAAGCCCCAAGCCTTTGTTTTGGCCATCTGCCGGCTCACAGCTTGCAAGGAGGGGAGATGGCCTCAGGTTCGGAGCAAGCCTGTGACCTGCAAGAACTGCTACGGCTGCGTAGTCCCAGCACAACTCGGTAGCCCAGAGGTACCCTTTTGCCCTGTTTGGGGTTGCAGGTCCCCTTATAACAAGGAACCAACCAAAGAAGGGCCTTGCTACAATATGGTTGCTGGGTTACCAAGACAAAGTTGCTCGAAAAGGTCCTGCACAGCTCCAAAATCACTTGGCAGGCAATTTATGATCTGGTGGCGCCTGGGCCTTAAACCCTGCACCCTAAACCCTAAACCCCTAAACCCTAAACCCCGCCCCCTTTGCCCCCCTTGCCCTGCCCCTCCCCGACATGGCCTCGCCGCGCCACGACAGCGCGGCCAAAGTGGCTGAAGCTGTGCCTTGAAGCGGCATGTGTTAGGGTTTAGGGTTGAGGGTTGAGGGTTGAGGGTTGAGGGTTGAGGGTGTTTCTGGCTTTGGGCATGAACTTCTGCCATTCTGATTCCTTGATTCCTTGCAGGGTCACTTTGTTCCTACTAAACAACTACAGAACCCCCATTTAGGTGCGAACCCTCCGCCCTTGCAGGGTTTAGGGTTTACGCTTCAGGGTTTAGGGTTTAGCGTCTGGGTTTAGGGTTGAGGGTTGAGGGTTGAGGGTTTAAGGTTTAGGGTTTAGGGCTTAGGGCTTAGGGCTTAGGGCTTAGGGTGTTCTTTTTTGTTTCTGGCTTTTGCGCATGAACGTCTGCCATTCCGATTCCTTGATTCCTTGCTAGATCACTTTGTTACTACACAGCCCTCTAAACAACTACAGGACCCCCATGTAGGTGCGAACCCTGCGCCCTTGTAGGGTTAGGGGGTTAGGGTTTAGGGTTTAGGGTTTAGGGTTTAGGGTTTAGGGTTTAGGGTTTAGGGTTCAGGGTTTAGGGTTTAGGGTTTAGGGTTCAGGGTTCAACCATCGGCATGAGACGGACGGAAGCGCCAGGAGCGCTTGAGCGTCTGTCAGGCCCCACTTGGAGGTTCATGGTACTTACTAACCAATTATAACTGTACTTATAACCCTACTTATAATGCCCCTAAAGGGCCTTATAGGGGTTATCCCAATCATAAGTAGGGTTATAAGCCCAGTTATAAGTGGTTCTTAAGTCCCATGAACCTTCAAGCACCCACAATGCACGTCTGCGGCAATGCATTGAATTCTTCACATCATGGGGCTTCAGGGGCTTGCAGGAGGGTTTAGAAGGTTTCGCTGTAGCCCTAAACCCTAAACCCTAAACCCTAAACCCTAAACCCTAAACCCTAAACCCTAAACCCCGGTAGACTCCCCCAAAGCCCCAAGAGCCGAGAGGTGGAAAAGTATGGCGGGCATGTGCCGCACTACCGAGCGCGCGGGGAGCAGCACTACCGCGTCCCCTTCAAGGAGCCGCTGGCGTCCAGAAGACACTCACTGTTGGTTAGCAGGGAATGAGGGAATCAGGTACCCTGTAGAATCCCTTAAAGGGTATATGTGGGGGGATAATTATAGGGTACCTCATTCCCGCATTCCCTACTAACCAACAGTAAGAACAGGGTGCGAGTTGCACACGAAAGCCTCATAAGCCCTAAACCTCAAACCCCTAAAAACCCTTTAAAAACCCTAAGAACCCCAAACACCCTTAAAAATGGATCCTTTGCAACGCAGAAACGACAGCAGGTTTATGCAGGCTTTTGAGGTATTGCTATGACACCCAGAGGCTGGGAAAGCAACCCACACCCCCAAACCTTCGCAAAACGGCTTAGAGGCTTCGAGTTTCGGTTTAGGGTTTGGGGTTTAGGGACAGGAGACGAGGTGTCAAGTTCAAGTACCACTCCCTAAACCCTAATCCGAACTCCCTCTCACCACTGGATGGCGATATCCGAGGCGCACCCGTGCGATTCCAGTTCCAAAAAACCCTAACCCCTCACTGTCAGGGTTTGTAGGACGGTTTGTAGGACGGTCCTCTAAACCCTATAATCCCTACACCCTGAACCCTAAACCTAAACCCTAAAACCCTAATCCCTAAACCCTAAACTGTCCCTCTCGACCCCCTACGTCGCTCGGCGAACACCCCAAGGCCCTCCATGCCCTTTGCCTTGGGGACCAAATGAACCCTAAAGGGTTTGTGGTCCATGTACCTTAGGGTTTAGGGTTTAGGGTTTAGGGTTTAGGGTTTAGGGTTTAGGGTTTATGGATTACTGTTCAAAACCCTACAACCTCCCCACAAAAAAGCCAATGTGCCCTAAACCCCAAGCCCCAAACCCTAAATCCTAAACCTCTAAACCCTTGTCCATCCGGTGCTGCAAACTTCGATTCCCAAGCTCACGAAGCGCAAATTCCTGTGACTTATAGGGCTTGTGAAAGTTTGGGCGCAGGGCTTAGGGTTGAGGGTTTAGGGTTGAGGGTTTTGGTTTAGGGTTTCGGGCTTGAATGGTCTGGGGTTGAGAGGCTTGAGGGTTGTACCATCCTCGTGTTTGTGCTGTAGGGATTTAGGTTCAGTACGTTGTTGTGTATCAAGGGATATACGGAAGGGACCTATACAACCCCTATCCCTGTGTAGTCCCTATATGCTTCAGTAGCCCCTGCATTCTCCCTAGCGTATCTTATACGGGTCCCTCCTTTAGTCCCTTGAGTAGAAGGGGTTCTGAGTTGATGGGGGTGAATATGCTTGTTGGTTTGTCGTTTGAGGTTCAGTGAGATTGTAGATTCTCTCAACTACAGTGGTTTTAGGGTTTAAGTTTGGGGTTTAGGGTGTAGGGATACCTGTAGCAATATCTGCCCTCATACTTCGGATACTCCTACTCCAAGAAAGGCACGGCGCATCATTTTGATCCCCCCCCCCCCCCCCCCCCCCATGGGTTCCTTGCAGGACAAGTCTCATCTAGTTGGCGTGCGGCCTCATCCAGAGTGGACAAAGGCTCAATCGGGAATTACCATAGCATCCCCTCCCTATCCCCAACCCCCTGCCCAAGGCACCCTGAACCCTAAACCCTAAACCCTAAAACCCTAAAACCCTAAAACCCTAAAACCCTAAAACCCTAAAACCCTAAAACCCTAAAACCCTAAAACCCTAAAACCCTAAAACCCTAATCCCTAAACCCTCAACCCTCTAAGGTTTCCTTCTATTTAGCTTCAAGCCTCTAGCAGGAGATCCTATGACATCAGGGCTCAGAGCCCTAAGAAAGCCCCAGGACTTAACCTTCTCACTGCTTGAAGGGCCCTTAAGCCCCTCAACCCTTAGGGTTTGAGAGGTTTAGGGTTCAGGGTTTTTAGGGGTGGGGGGTTTAGGGTTTTGGGTTTAGGGTTTCCCTCACCCCTTTTGAACCCTAAGCCCTGGTCCACACCCCTAAATCCCCGAGGCTCTCAACCCCTTCATCCCCTAAGCCCTCAACTACTCTTAAAACAGCCCCCTCAGTCAATCCACCCAAACCCTACTAAACAAGCAAGGGCAGCCCGGCAAAGCATCAACCCGAAGCGCTTGAACCTAAACTCCAAACCCTAACCCCCCGCAACCCTAAACCCTCAACCCTCAACCCCCCACCTCCCAGTCCCACATGTGCCGGAGAGGTGCCGGAGCATCGCACACTCACCGAGCTAAAGGCGGGTGAGCATTCAGGGATCAGGGTTTAGGGCTTTAGGGCTTCTAGGGCTTAGGACTGGGAGGGGTTTGGGCTTTTGGTTGAATAGGGTTGTGACTGTCGCTCGAAACCCCCGGCTTCCCTGCTACAAACCAGCTGCTTTGTTCTAGGGTTTAGGTTCGATTATACGCCCCTTTAAACCCTAGGTAGGCTCTTGGGACATTTTATATTTTCCCTTAGTGGGTTTAAGAGGATCATATTCAGAAATATTTTTCAGAGGGGTTTAAGGGCCATCCTAGAACCCAAACTGGCGACTCTTGAGCGACCGCATGTACCGTACACCACTGATCTCGATTTTTCAAGTTCCCTAAACCCTAAACCCTAAACCCTAAACCCTAAACCCCAAACCCCAAACCCTAAACCCTAAACCCTAAATAACCCAAAAGGTCCTTGCACGGGTCCCTCCTTTTGTCCCTTGACGCAGAAAAACCCCATGTCTGGTAGCCTCAGGGACTGCCTGAGGCTGAGAATTTAGGTTTTGGGTTTAGGGTTTAGGGTTTAGGGTTGAGGGTTTAGGGTTTTTGGAGTTGAGTCATGCGGACCGAAGTCGAGACAGGAGTGGGTACACTCATAGGAAGCCCGAAGCAAATCTACCTCCTACACCCTAAACCCTAACCCTAAACCCCAAGCCCTCAACCCTGGACCCTAAGCCCTAAACCATAAACCCTAAGCCCTACCCCCACTCCAAGAAACACTTTGGGCATAACGGGCTGGCCTTGGGCTCTCTCTGAGGGTAGTTTCATTGGCCCCCTAACCTCCTTCAAAGGGGTCTGATGTGTGGGCCAGGAATTTGTGTAGGGTGTATAAGGGGTATATAAGGGGTCCCGTTTACGGGCCCACACTAAGGGACCATGCAACTACCCCTAAACCCTAATCCCTTTTAAGGGCCCATACGAAGAGGACCATGTAACTACCCCTAAACCCTCAACCCTCAACCCTAAACCCTTTAAGGGCGCCCATACGAAGAGGACCATGTAGCTGTAGCTACCCTAAGACTCCCTGGGGCCACAGGCCAGATGCACCACCGTCTGCGGTGCGTTTGCCTGAGTGCGCGGCCAAGACGTGGTGGGTTTCCAGCTCCACTACGCAGCCGCGAGCACTTGTGGGGGGCTTCCTCGGTCCGGATTGACGGCTTCGGAGCTGAAGAAGCTCGACCATGGGCAACGCCCTGGTCGAGTTTGCCTTGAAAGTCGTCAAGGAGGCCCGAAAAGTTGGCGCGATTGTTGTCCTGGAGAATCCACAGACGTCCTGGATGTGGGAACTGCCCGAGTTGAAGGAGCTCTGGACCCGGCAGTTCGGGCGACCGTGGAGGAAGGCAACATCGCTGGCTATGTCCGCAGACCTTCGACCATGATGGAACCCTAAACTGCCGAAAGTCTGACTCGAGGCCCGCGACCCTCGGGTTGAGGGTGAGGGTTTTGGGGTTTCGGGTTTTGGGGTTACAGTTTTGGAGGTTTAGCGTTTAGGGTTTAGGGTTCAGTTTATGCCCCTTAATTAGGGAATATATATATATATATACCTTAAATCATATTAGGGACCCCAAACCCTAAACCCTAAACCCTAAACCCTAAACCCTAAACCCTAAACCCTAAACCCTAAACCCTAAACCCTAAACCCTAAACCCTAAACCCTAAACCCTAACATGATTTCAGGGATGTTCTTTCCTAATATGACTTAAGGGATGTTCCCTTAATTATGGGGTTTTGGAGCCTCTGAGCAGGCCAAGAGGCGTGCGGAGCGGCTCCCTGATGCCACCTTCGCCGCTTGGGCCGCGCTAAAAGCGGTTTGGGGTTTGGGGTTTAGGGTTCAGGGGTTTAGGGGTTTAGGGTTTAGGGGTTTAGGGTTTAGGGTTTAGGGTTTAGGGTGGTTTGGGGGTTTTAGGGTTTAGCGGTTTTGGTGTTTTTAGGTTTGTTCAGGGTTGTTGTTCAAGTTGCTTGTTGGTTTCTTAGGGTCCGAATTCCTAGCCTAAGCCCTACACCCTGTGCTGCATCCCCTGAGCCCTGAGCCCTATCAACTCTATATGGTCAGTTCTCAAAATCATGGTCCCCTTTGGGTACCCGGACATATTAGGGGCCGTGGTAGTAACCGCAGCCCCTAAACCCTACACCCTAAACCCAAGAACCCTAACTTAGAGAATCCCCCACATACGTGAGACTCAGGCCTCAGGACCATTCCTTCGAAGCTTTGAGGGCCTTTGAGGTTTCGGGTTTGGGCTGGGCCTGATAGGGCTTGGGGTGCGGGACTTTGGGTTTAGAGCCGAATGTCATAAAGGGTTTAGGATTTAGGGGTTAGGGTTTAGGGCGAAGCCCAGTGACGTGAAAGTGTGCTCTTTCAGGACATCGATGGAGATGGCGTGGTAGGGCCAACCGACTATTTTGTGGCCAAGACGTTTGCGAAGGACCGGCAGCAAAGTCTGGATGGAAGGGCTCGGGCGGAAAGCTTCTGTTTCAAGCCTAGCGGCTAGCGGTTTGACGAATTCGAGTTTCCTATCTGTGCATGGACACATCTCTCACACACACATGTCTATGTCTGTATTCGCATATACATAGATACATGCATATAAACTATGTACATCTATACATCATATATGCAAATCGGATAAACAACTATATATATATGTACACGAAGTACACATGTGCTTTGCATATATAAGTATACATATAGTATACATGCACTATGCTTCGGGTACTCATGCAATGCACATTTACTACACACTTATTATGCATATGTTATATGTATCGTGCATATATTATATACATGGCTCGCGCAAGTTCTTCTTATGGCATATGTACAAGTATATCAATATGTATATGTGTATGTGTATGTATATGTATATGTATATGTATATGTATATGTTTATGAATGTGTATATGTGTATGTGCATATTTTTATGCATTTGTACATGTATCATACATGTAATATACATGTATTATACGTAGATCAATGTTTGCATCTATATGCATATATTTATACATAAATACACACACACATGTATATGTATATATATATACAAACACTACATATCTCTGTATATACATATGCGTGTGTGTCTGCGTACACACGGAAATGCATATGTACGTCTTCACGCGTAGGCACATGCGTGGTGTTTTTCGGGTGCATGGGATGCCAGTTTGCGAAGTGGCGCAGATAAACCTGCTTCTGCAAAGTGGTTCAGGGCTTTGGGGTTCATCGGTGTCGGGGAAGTTTAGGGACGTGGGTTTAGCGTCTAAGGGTTTCTTTAGGGCTTTACGATTGCCAGGAGCAGCGCAACCGGCTCGATACTGGCGATCGAGGACTGAGCGACTCTGGGTTGGGGGGGGCGGGGGGGGGGGTTGTGCTCCCTTCATAACCTGTCTCCAGCGCCTTTGCCCAAGCCAACCCCCAAAGCCTTACGCTCACTCTCGCAGGCAAAGTCGTCGAAGCTTTGGAGCAGGGCTTTCTGGATCGAGCCGCGGCTGCACGGCAATGACCTGGCGCCATGGTTTTCTATTGGGGACCCAACGATCCCCGACTTCTTGAAACCCTGAGCCCCTCGACGCCAAAGCCCCAACCCCCAGAAAACCTTCTCCCCTCTACAGTTTGGCGTTAAGACATTGGTTTAAGCATTCCCTTATCTGGGGTTTGGATGATCTGTACTTGGAGTGTTCTCTTCAAGGCTGACCTAAGATAAAAAAGCAAAGCACATGAGGGCAGTTCGCTATATTCGGGTCCCTGTTTGGGGGTCCCTATTGTAAGGTATTGTATCCCAAAAGGGACCCCGATTTAGAACAAACAACATGTCTTGAGGATACTCCTGGGGCTACGACGAGGCCCTGGATTTGAGCAGTTGCCAGTCCATGGGCTTCGGGGAAGGGGGAGGGAGGGATCCCCAACTTCAAGTTCTGGTTTGGGGTTTAGGGTTTAGGGTTTAGGGTTTAGGGTTTCGGGCTTCGGGTTTAGGATTCAGGGTTTAGGATTCAGGTTTTAGGATTTAGTGTTTAGGTTCCCCTGTTATTCCTAACAGCTGGCAAGGAATATTCCAGGTACTGGAGGTCTGAGACACCATGATTTCGATCAATCTCCATCTCGTTCCTTAGGGCCTTGCGTGCGCCAGAAACCCTAAACGAACCCCTAAAGCTCAAGGTAAGGCTGGGGAACCTTCCACCTTCGCAAAGGATGACCCTTTTGCGATTTTTGTGTTTAGGGTTCAGGTTTAGGGTTTAGTTTTTGGGGTTTAGGGTTTAGGGTTCAGGTTTAGGGTTTAGTCGTGTTTAGGGTGTTTGGGGTTCAAGGGTTTAGGGCTTCTGGGCTTCCAGGGCTTCTAGGGCTTCTAGGGTTTAGGGTCCAGGGTGGCCCGCACCCGCAATTTCAGCACCTGAACTCTGCACCTTGTACCCGAAGCCCACGCCTCAAACCCGAAACAGCATCACGCAGTCCAGCCCAGGTGCGCATGTCGAGTGTGTGGGGTTTTAGGGATCGGTCCTCGGGTTTCGGGTGGCCTATATAATATAGGGGATAATAACCCCCAAACCCTATTCTAATTATTAAGGCCCCTATACTAAGCCCTGAACCCTAAGCCCTATAAGGTCTACAAGAGCTAACATCTACAAGCCAAGAAGACCCCCAAAGCCAAATCAAACCCTATAAGCCCCATAGAGCCTGTAAGCCCAAGAAAACCTGCCAGCTCCAGAAGCCCTAAAAGGGGCCTAGACCCTAAACCCTAAACCCTAAACCCTCAACCCTAAACCCTCAACCCTAAACCCTCAACCCTAAACCCTAAACCCTGCGTAGGTGGGCGCGGCCCGGAAGAACGTCGTGAAACAGCTCCGAGGCCTGTGTTCGGCCTCCATGTTCCGGATGGCTACAGTTAAGAAAGGGTTTAGGGTTTAGGGTTTGGGGTTTAGAGTTTAGGGTTTAGGGTTTAGGGTTTAGGGTTCCACCTAAATCCCAAACCCGTAACCCTAATCCCTGATGTACCCCAGAAGTAGCGTGATAAGAGTCTGCTAGTTTGAAGGTCTTGGGGCTGCAGTTAAGGTTCTATGAAGTATCCCCGAAAAACACTCCATAATGAATACGTGTATATGCTTGCATATGACGCATCATGGGGTAACGCGGGAAGTCAGCTACTGCGTTTCGAGGGGTTTTCGTCTCGAGCACCGATGCTCGTTTGGCCCACTGCTTGTCCCCATACAGCTGCCTTCATTCTCTTTCATTTACCTCGACCGCTATGTAAATTAATTAATGTGGCCTTGTTTATAAGAAATAGCGTTGACCGCCCGCTAGACTAATCAAGTGCATGAGGGACTAAATGGGCTTCGATGAGCTCAGTTCACGAAATGAAAGGAGAAAATGTGTTTGTTAACGTGAGTGAGGGTCAGTGATAATAGTTCAATGACTTGTGTGCGAGTTTCATTTATCACGGTTTTCCTCTCAACAAAAGTCAAGACATCCACATGAAAACATCGTGTTGTTCCGTGTTTCCCATCCTTTTTGGAGATTGTCCTTGCCTCATCACATCCCCGGGAGATTCTCCAGAAACCAGGGAATCTAAACCCTAAACCCTAAACCCTAAACCCTAAACTCTAAACCCTAAACCCTAAACCCGAAACCCTAAACCCTAAACCCTAGACCCTAGACCCTAAACCCTAAACCCTAACGGACAACGAAGCATGTTTTTAGAAATAAAAGGTCGAAGGTTGAAGATCCCACCGGGGGGGAGGTTAGGGTTTAGAGTCTGTGGGCTTTAGGGTTTCAGGTTTAATTAACATTGTTTTTTTTTGTGTTCGTGTTCAGGCTTTGAATAGGATGTAGGGCGCATTTTCCCTGCCCCTTGCTTGCTCCCTGGTTCTCGGAGAAGTAAGACTGGGGCGCTTGTACTTGTCAAGGAACATGAGCTTGAGTTCCCGTGACAAGGGTGCTCCAGTATTCACGATAGAGCCCTATTCTTGCAACAGAATCCACGTGTCTGAGGCCCTAAGCCCCAAACCCCAAGCCCTAAACCCTAAACCCTAAACTTTTTGTAAAGGAATGAGCTCAGAAGAGGCCGGATCTACAACGGCGACAACGGGCACGAGCTGAGCCACGTCTACCCGCCCCACTGGAACTCGGACAAAATCCCGAACTACTGGACAGCTCCCAGCCTTCAATAGTTTAGGGTTTAGGGTTTAGGGTTTAGGGTTTAGGGTTTAGGGTTTAGGGTTTAGGGTTTGGGGATGCCTATCATCAATGTTATGATCGGTGCATGGTTCACAGTAGGGAGTAGCGATCGGGTGGTAGCCCTACACCTTAAAACCCATGAGCCGCTAACTCCTTACAAAAAAGAACAAGAACGTCCACCCGAAACCCCAAGCCAAGGAACCTCGTACAGGGGTCGGAATAAGTACTAATGGTATCCCCTCATGGTCCCTGCAGAATTATACTACAACATCCCCCTTGCTCAAGGCCCCCCCTATATTAGCCCCTAAATCGCAAGGGGAAGCTGCTGAAAGGATTTCTAGCGCACTCTGAAGAAGACGAGGGGGGATCTGCCTTAGACACGACAACCTGAAAACCCTGCACCGCTAAACCTGAGCCCGAAAAACTAGTATTAGTAGTAGTAGTAGTAGTACTACTACTACTACTGCTACTACTATTCCTACTCCTACTCCTACTCCTACTCCTACTCCTACTCCTACTCCTACTCCTACTACTACTACTACTACTACTACTCCTACTCCTACTACTACTACTACTACTACTACTACTACTACTACTACTACTACTACTACTACTACTACTACTACTACTACTACCACTGCTACTATTCTCACTACACTACTACTACTACTACTACTACTACTACTACTACTACTACTACTACTACTACTACTACTACTACTACTACTACTACTACTACTACTACTACTGCTACTGCTACTGCTACTGCTACTGCTACTGCTACTGCTACTGCTACTGCTACTGCTACTGATACTGCTACTGCTACTGCTACTGCTACTGCTACTGCTACTGCTACTGCTACTGCTACTGCTACTGCTACTGCTACTGCTACTGCTACTGCTACTACTACTCCTTGCCCGCGAATTAAATGGCAATGAAGCAAATGATGTCAATGAACTACATGAAATATGTAGTTGATTTATGTAACCCAATTACTTCATTCAATTACTTCATTTTATTCATCTAGTTCTGTAGATGAAATGGCCTGGGATCTCTGAGGCGCGCTGTCGGCGTGTAATTGAAGGCTGTTTCTTTCGCAGCCAAGAAGCAGCAGCAGCAGAGCAGCAGCAGCAGCAGCAGCAGCAACAACAGCAACAGCAGCAGCAGCAGCAGCAGCAGCAGCAGCAGCAGCAGCAGCAGCAGCAGCAGCAGGAGCAGCAGGAGCAGCAGGAGCAGCAGGAGCAGCAGGCTACTACTACGACGACGACTACTACTACTCCTACTACTAGAACGACTACTACGACGACTACGACGACTACGACGACTACGACGACTACGACCCAAAGCTCAGGAGCTCAAGATCTTGGACGGCGCAGGCAGCTTGAAGCTTACCCCAGGCTCACGTGCGCTTTCAGCCACACGGTCATGAGGCGCTTTGTCCTGGCGCTGCGAGGGTGCTGTCGCAGTTGTGGACTACTGCACATCCGTGAGCTTTGTCGGCGGCGAGCTGTGGATGTGGGTTGGCGCGGGGCCGGTTGCTACTTGCCTACTTACGGACTGAAAATGGGACATCATCCAAAAGATCGTAACCGCCAGACGTCCCATCACCATCACACCGCCACCCCCCGACTATCCCTGATTCCGAACCTCAACCTCGGAAAGAACCCTGGCAGGTGGTACACTTCTCGATTTGTAAACCTTTCGTCTTGAGCCACATACGTGGCGGATAGTGTGAGTGATTCTGCCAGAGGTCATCCTTGCTCAGGGCCCATGCGGCCACGCGCCGCAGTTCTAACATTCTTCCGCGAGTGCCGGAGCATGGCCTGGCTAGAATCTGAGTTAGTCGAATCCTTCGGTCTTGACTTTGATGTAAAAACTTAGCTTTTGTATCCCGCCCGATTCAACGAATCTTATGCTCCCTTCGGCGATCGATGGTGACCCCGACCCTTTCAAACGCAACGGCGCGTCCGTGATGCTTGCGTGGCTACTCCATCCACGTCTTCAAATGATCTCGCAAGTATGAACATCCCACCCCAAATGCATCTTGTCCGCGCCGGCTGCACATAGAGAAATCTGGGAATTGCGTCATGAAGCGTAGCAGCAAGGCTCTTCGCTCGGGCCTTTTCGATAAAGTCCTTGAGTTGCGTTCCAATCGATAAGTTGCGCCGCTTGCTTCTATCTCACTGTCCAAGGCAGTGTCAGACTTTGACGCTCGGAATTGGAAGCAATCGTATGGGGCCATCTTGAGCAATACTCCTGTTCTTGACTCGAAATTCCTGGAGCCAGTGAGGCGCTTCCAAACACGTGCGAATCGTCATATCTGAGGTTTCCGCACATTTCGCATGATACAAGCCAAGATGTCGGGTGCAGCATACATCCAAACAGCGGCAGCCAACTTCACGGTACGACGTCTCCGAGCTTGGAGTAGCTGATCTTTGCAAAATTCAGGCTGCTGAATGAATGCACCAGCAAATTCAGCGACCATCGAATGTTCTGAACGCTTCTAGAACGCTTTTAGATAGCTTCCCTACATGCGCAAAAGAACAGCCTCAGCTTCAGAGCCGGCTATGCCGTAGAGCCGTACAGAGACTACGATAAATATCGGGCCCCGCGGTACCGCAGGCTTTGCATGACTGGATGATTCCTTTGATTATTTCCGTGCTGGTTGGTCTATCCTCTTTTTGGGCCTGCCTGGTATTTCGATCCGCCGCGCATTGCCATTGCTGTCTGACGCGACATCGGGCTTCTTGTCGTTACGGATTGCGATATCTACTTAACAAAATGAAATGGCCAAGTGGACCCTAAAAGTCTCGGTCACGCTATTTATATATGAATATTTTTTTTGAAACTAGCACCCCGGGTGTTTTTGAGGGTTAGCCCTAGACCCTAAACTATTAGAGCCTAACCCCCAAACCCTAAACCCGACCCCCCCCCCCCCCCCCAAACCATGAAGCGCCCAGTCGACTGACTATGTAGAACTAGCACCCCGGGTGTTTTTGAGGTTTAGCCCTAGACCCTAAACTACCCCCCAAACCCTGACCCTCCCCCCCCCCCCCAAACCATGAAGCGCCCAGTCGACAGACATGAAGATTGACCGCAAGCAGCAACTCTTATCGCAAGCCACGGCCCTCAAGGAGGCGCGTCAGCCGTTCAGGGTCTGGGGTTTCGGGTTTACGGTTTAGGGATCAGTGCCTGGGTTTCGGATTCCGGGTTTAGGATTCAGGGCTGGGGGTTAGGATCCAAGGTTTTGGGGTTTTGGGTTGGCTTTGGAGTACAAGGTTTAAGTTCGCCTTTATGTTCATGGCTTAGGCTTAGGGATTCTGCTCCCGCCAAGGTTCAGGGCTTTTGTTGGTTTATTTGGGGGGGGGGGGGAGGGGTCCATGTAAGTGAGGCTCTGACTGCCCTAAACCCTAAACCCTAAAATCCCTAAAAGCCCTCAAAAACCCTATAAACCCTACAAACCCTATAAGCCCTATAAACCCTATGAACCCTAAAACCTACACCCTGGGGCTTTGGGTTTCTAGGGCCCGGGCTGGCAGGACTATGATGCGAAGCATCCATGGCACATACCAGAGCCCGATGTGCGCCAGGCTCACGGGATCCAACTATAGGGTTTAGGGTTTGGGGTTTAGGGTTTTGGGTTTTGGGTTTAGGGCTTAGGGTTTTGGTTTAGGGGTTTAGAGTTTAGGTTTCAGGGTTCAGAGTTCAGGATTCAGGGTTTAGGGTTTAGGGTTTAGGGTTTAGGCTGAAGTAGGGATTCAGGTCTATACGGTGAGAACGCACCAAATTCCACAAGATGTGCGAAGAAGAGGCGAAGCAGCCCATTACTCATCCTCTTGAGCCCTAAACCCTGCGACCTGGTTACTAGTTTAAGGCGTAGGGTGGTCCTGGGTTTAGGGTTTAGGGTTTCAGGGTTTAGGGATTAGGGTTTGGGGTGTAGGTTTTACGTCTCTGGGTCAGCCCGAAACCTTCCCTCCCCAACTCTTCACGTTTCAGCTGAACACACCCCTAGCTAGCGTTGATCTCGGGTTGCCATTTACGGGGTTCAGAAGTCATTTATTTTACAGTAGAGCCCCTTCTAACATCTGCCTCAGAAGAAACTTTCATAAAGAGCCACAGCTGTGTGGTGTGTTGCCTCCACTGCCCCCCCCAAAGGCTTCAGGCTCTTGGCCTCGGGGAACTGAGGCGGCAAACCCTAAACCCTAAACCCTAAACCCCAAACCCTAAACCCGAAACCCGATGAGTGAAGTTGGGTTATCATCATGGTAATTTTCTGTCCAGGCGGACTTCGGAATGCAGAGCCCTAATCTCTGAACCCCAATATCCTGGCCCAAACCCGGCCTTTCAGCCCCCAGATCCCTCCTAAGCCCTTTAAGCAGTCCTTTTTCACCCTAAACCCTAAACCCTAAACCCTAAACCCTAAACCCTAAACCCTAAACCCTAAACCCTAAACCCTAAACCCTAAACCCTAAAACCTACCTCTAAGCCTGTTTGCTGCTGGTGGTGCAAGGAAGGCCTGGTGGACGAGCCGCCCATCACCAGCCGGCACCAGCAGCCTGAAAGCAAATGCACAGGGTGCTTGTCAGAGGCCCAGGGTTTAGGGTTTAGAGTTTAGGGTTTCAGGTTTAGGGCTCATGGGGTTTGGGGGGGGGGGGGGGGGGATAGGGAGTTCAGGGTTGAATAGGTTTAGGGTTTTCGGACTAGAGTGTGAGTTCTCGGGTGCTTGCATCGAATGTGTGGAGTGTATTTTGTTGGCTGCAGGGGGTGCGAGGCTTGAGAGCTGCCTAGCAAGAGGATCTGGCCTAGAACCCCAAGCGCTAAGCCCCAAACTGCTCATGATTCCTTATGCTCTCCTGCCTATCCCTATAGCCCGAATTCCCAAGTCCTGAACAAAGAAAAACAAACGATCCCCCGATAAACCTAAGCCCGTTTTAAGCCCTAAGCCAGCAGTCAAAGCCCCACGGCCGCCTTGCAATGTTACGAGGAAAGCCGCCCAGCTCCGACGTGAGGTCCGAGGGTTTAGGGTTTAGGGTTTAGGGTTTAGGGTTCAGGGGCTTGGGATCGTTTTGGAGTTTGGGGGTTTAGGGGTTTCGGGGTGCCCGGAAGAATTGCAGCTTGCAGTTTACAGGCCCGTTGGTTTGCGACCCCGGTCCTTCTAACTCTAAACCCTAAACCCTAAACCCTAAACCCTAAACCCTAAACCCTAAACCCTAAACCCTAAACCCTAAACCCTAACCCCAAACCCTAAACCCTAAACCCTAAACCCCTGACCATGACCTCTAAGCCATTTCTGCATGCAAAAACGCCCCCTCCCCCCCCCCCCCCCCCCACAGGCCCGCATGTACGGCGGTCTGGATGAAGAGGCGCCAAGATGGAGGGCTTGTTTTGCATGAACATAAGAGGGTTTAGGGTTTAGGGTTTAGGGTTTAGGGTTTAGGGTTTAGGGTTTGGGGTTTGGGGTTTAGGGTTTAGGGTTTAGGGTTTAGGATGCACATAAGAAGATCATGCCCGCAAAGAGCCAGAGAATGCGTGTACCAGCACCCAAAGGGATTAAGGCTCGTACTAAGGTCGTGCCCCTAAAGAATCGCCTGAATATACTCCCAAGAAGGTCCTTATACTACCTTATGGATCTTAAAAAAAATGGTCCCTCAAACCCAAGGGTACAACCCCAAGGGTCCAAGGTAGAACCCCATGACAAAGTTTCTATACTAACAGTCCTGAATAGGGATTATCATAGGGGGCACTCGAATCCTGAATAAGGACTGTTAGTTTAAGGAGGAACACCCTAACCCCTAAACCCTAAACCCTAAACCCTAAACCCTAAACCCTAAACCCTAAACCCTAAACCCTAAACCCTAAACCCTAAACCCTAAACCCTAAACCCTAAACCCTAAACCTTGGGCTCTTTGGGAAGAGACCATTCCAGCGCCCCGGGACAGGCCGCGGTGCCCAACGCAGCGCGGGACGGAATCGCCCCCGGGCTCAGACGCCTGGCCGGAATCAAGATGCGAGGCAGTAGGGTTTAGGGTTTAGGGCTTTGGGTTTTAGGATTTAGGGTTTCGGGTTTCGGGTTTCGGGTTCGGGCTTTAGGCCTTACAGGTGTTCAGACAAGCCATGCCACCCCGCAAATACCGTACATCCTGCCCTAGAAAGCACCTTTAGATCAACCCCCCACGTTACACCATGCATGGAACTCCCGTTTGGTCCCGAGTCACTTGCTACGGCTGTCGCCGAGTTGGCGAAAACATGCTGGGCAAGCGGCGTGTCGTGGAACGCCGTGCCGAAGTGTCAGATGTGGCTTTCGTGTGTACCTTAACCCAAAACTTCCCTAAACCCTAAACCCTAAACCCTAAACCCTGAACTCCGAACCCTAAACCCTAAGCCCCCAGGCCTCGCCGTAAATCCGATAGCAGCCAGCCCACCTGTCAAAATACGGTGTTGATCTAACAAACAGTGGGCCGGTTTGGGGGCCACCCCCACAGAACTGCAACTAGGACCCAGAGATAACCAGGGTTTAGGGCTTTGGCCTTTGTTCCCTTTTTCCTTGCAGGCTCCGGGTTACCCTATAGGCCCCTTTCAACCAAAATAGGCACCCTTTTCTTGTTCCTGCGCTACTCCTGGGTCCAGGAAAAGCCATAGCCATACCCTAAGAACCCCTAACCTACATGTGCTCCTCAACTTGGGTGGGGGCCAAAAGCTGCTCGCTCGTGTTCCTAATTTTTTTTTGCTTAGCGAGCTTGCACCAAAGTTAGTAGATTTGGGAAGCGGGTTTAGGGTTTAGGGTTTAGGGTTTAGGGTTTAGGGTTTAGGATGTGCCCGAAACACTAAACCCTAAGTCCCAAATCCTAAACTCTGAGCCACCCGGGTGCGGGCCGCAGCTTCTGAGCTGAGGCTACGTGGAAAATCCAGTGGTGTGGGGCCCCAGGGTTGAGGCTTGGTTTAGGGTTTAGGGTTTAAGGTTTAGGGTTTAGGGTTTAGGGTTTAGGGTTTAGGGTTTAGGGTTTAGGGTTCAGGGTTCAGGGTTTAGGGTTTAGGGTTTAGGGTTCAGGGCTTTAGTTAACCCGAGGCCCCGTGAGCCGTTCTGAGCCTTGAACCTTCTTGAGCTCAGGGTTTAGGGTGTAGGATATAAGCGCCCCAAACCCTAAACCCTAAACCCCAAACCCCAAACCCTAAAGCCTAAACCCTACACCCTACACCCTACACCCTAAACCCTAAACCCTAAACCTGACAACCCCTTGAACTTGGGGCCCCCAAAACCCGCAGCAAAGCAAAGTAAGCCTGCCTCCTCGGGCTCTTCACTGCAGCCTCGTCCCCCCCTAAACCCCTAAACCCTATAAGGCCTACACCCCTACGCACTAAACCAAAAACCCTAAACCCTAACCTAAACCCTAAACCCTAAAGCCCTAAAGCCTAAACCCTAAACCCGAAACCCTAAACGCCCAAAACCTGCCTAAGCACTGAACCCAGTCTCCCTCCAACACAATACGAGGCGCGCAC